TGCCCAGTAAAGCTGAAGAGAAAAAGGTACTTCAAAAGGGTAAACTTATCCCTTTGCCCTTTAAGTTTGCCATTAAGTTGGCATAAGCACTATTCTGAAGGCAATCATGGGAAAAAACAAAAGGTTTTGTTGAGTCACCGGAAGAGTTTGACAAGGACGCACTGGTTTCACAGTTAAACCGACAATTGTCCTTTTTGTGAGTCCCTTAGTAGTCTAGAACTGGATTTCTAGAAGGCTAAAAAATCTTGTGGGGGTCATAAACACCTATCTGTTTGGTATGTATGACAAAAAAAACCACAGAGAATCAGAATCCTGGAGTGGCTGCTACTGTTGGTTGGCATTCCCTGTGCAAYGAAATTACAGAATTGTCCTTATAGTGGCTTATCTGCACCAACTTTGCAGGTCATGTGCATGCACTGCGCAGCACTTAAGATAATCTGATGGCAGAATTTGGGGAATCTAAACATCGTAGTTCACACCATAAATGAGTTTCCTAAATATTATAAATAGATGGAAAATTAGAGGCRGGGGGGGGGAAAGAGGCCTAAAAGCATTTTGAAAAATGAACCATAAGCATTTCCAAAGTCTCCAGAGCCACGTAATGCTGTAACTTGAACTATACTATTACTGGACTAATTGCCACAGGGCATCCCAGTTGTCCTCAGAGGCTTCTATTATTCCCCATCAAAAGGCTCATTTGAGCCTAAGACTTTGTAAAGCTTGCAATGCAGACTGGAATCCTGCTGAACATCCACTCTCTTAAAGGCTATTTTTTACTCTACCACATTCCTAAAAGYATAGAAAAGGAGGAACAATTTAGAAACACTTGCCAGTCCAGATACCGGTCTAATCAAACTTGAAAAAAATTGCAACACATTTGGCTTTCCTCACACAAATCACAGCAACCATTATAAACTAGATTCAAAATTCCTGTTGTTTGTATTTATTCCACTATCACATTGCATCTTCAGTTGAMGAGATGCTATCACTAGGGGCCAACACTTTCTCAAATGTAATGTTATTTCTGTAAGAGATGCAGTTTTATGAACACCACACAGTCAGAAAAAAAAGCCACCAACCCCATAAAATTGACAGTGGATCAAAAATAATGAAATCTTAACAAGAAAGTTGTTGAGCTATCCTTTCCTGCCATCTCTTTTTGAAGCTCTCAGCTGCTTCTTTTCAAGACTCTTGATAAGGAGAGCTAAAACTATTCCAAAAATTGCTATTTTAATGTAATTTAATTTGATTTTGAGGATTGCAAAGATAGATGTTTAAGAAAGCCCACTTCCCAAGTCTCAAAATAAAACCATAAGAACTGCCAAGGTACTGTGAAGCAGATGTTTCCAAASCAGTTGTTTTAATGGCACAGATTCCCTAATGGCCTTATGTGGCAGATTCCTATCTCGCATATCTCATGTCAAATAGGTCTCTGAGACCAAACCCGTAATTTTCAGTGCCATGCCCAACACCTGACTTTGTAGGATTCACATGTGGTCAGTAACCTGTGACCTAAGAAATAGTGAGAACTGAATTTTCTCCTCTGTGTGAAGGGGTGAGAACCCACACTTACAATCACCCTGTCAAAAAGACTTCTGAAGATTTCTGGCAGTTCAAGCTATTTCACTGCAGGTAAGTGAGATAGATGGTACCAGGAAAATAAATAGGTGAATCTCTAACAGACTAGTTGCAGAGATGAGAAATCYCTATCTCATTCCTCTTGCATCCCTCTTCCCTTTATTTCATAGGTCACTGAGCAGGGTTGGAATGTCCCTTTCCACCTAAGTACCTCCCTGTTGTTATTTTTGTTTCCCTCTTTCTATTGAATCCTTATTTCTTGTATGCTAGAATCACTTCACAAAGAAACATGAATCACATCATGTCAGGGCAGCAGAGAGTAAATCAGGAAAGAAATACATGTGCTTTGAATGACGGAACTGAAAGGTCCTACTTGCTTTATAACTGTGGAGCTGCAGAGCTAGGGCTCTTTTACACTCAATGCTAAACATACTTTTTGATTTTACACTTAAGGCCTCCCATGTTTTATTGATACAGCTCGAAGTAGCCAGATATGCGTGGCTATATATACACACAAGTGGATTTGACCAAAGAAGGTGAGCACCACTTTAGTCACTTCGCCACCAAGCCTGTTGCAAAATACATATTTTCAAATACAGCCAGCTCCGATTTCTTTAGTTGCCATCAAAAAGATAACGAGCATGCAGCGTCTGCATCCCCSGGCACAGCCCTGAGCAGGCTGCGGCTGCCCCCACGCAGGGTTAAGCAGAGCAACAGCAAATCCCACCAGGTCCCGGCGTCCAACGCCGAGGAACGGCAGCAGGGACGGCGGAGCTAAGCCGGGAGCCCCGCACGCGCTAACGGCCAAAACGGCCGCTAACGGCCACCGGGCGGGGCCACCCGCATCGCGGCCGGGAGCGGCCGCTGGGCTGATGGTGGTTACGCCCAGCGGCAGCACCCGTATGAACAGGTTTCAAGGCCGCCGCCTTCCTTCCCTCCCTCCGCAGGACCCAGGGAAGCGGCGCAGGACACAACCGCCTCCGCGGCAATGGCACCAACCCTGACACATGCCCCACCGCGCCGCCGACGGGACCGGCAGAGGCCGCGCGCGCATGCGCAGCCTAGGGCACCCSGCGGCCGCTAGGCCGTGCGCATGCGCGGCGCAGGTGGCGCTGAGCGCTGCTCTGCTCCTCCCGCGCATTCCTCAGCCGCCTTCAGGCGCATGCGCAGTGTTGACTCGCCGGCGGAGGAGGCAGAGCGCGCGCAGACCCCTTCCGCCCGAGCCACGCCGCGCGCATGCGCAGTCGCCCACCTAGCCTCTATTTGAGCCGCTGGAAGCGGGCGCGCGGCGCCATAGCCACGTGACGCGGGGGCGGGGCCGGGGAGGGAAAGGTCAGCGGCGCCGCGGCGGAGGGGGGGGGGAGCGGAAGGTCAGGGCGGCGCGGAGCGGAAGTGGGAGCCGGAGCCCGTCCGCCATTGTGGGGAAGCGGCGCCCGGAGCAGGGGGGGGAAGCGGCGCTGCGCGCGGCCGGCGGCTCCTTCCAGCGGGACCCGAGCGGCGGCGGCGGCAGCAGGAGCAGCAGCGAGCGGCGGCGACAATCAGGCGGCGGGGAGGCGGCGGCGGGCGGCGCCTGCGTGCGGGATCACTCGAGGCCCAGGCGGCGCGGAGCGAGGGCATCGCGGCTGCCCGTGAAGAATGTCAGCCAC